AGGACCGCCCAGAGGCCTCCTAGACGCCCCAAGAGGACTCCAAGAAGCTTCAGGGTCATCCGAAGAGACTCCAAGATGCATCCAAGAGGCCTCTGACCTTACTGCTCGCCTTCCTCCTCCTCCTCCTCCTCCTCCTCCTCCTCCTCGTCTTATTATCCGGAATATTCTTCTTAGTTCTAAAATTATTGGTATGATGATGTTCACTACTACTCTTGCAATAATTAGTATTATTCATGTGTGTTATCATGAACAAATTGTAAGTATTACTCTGAATATGATTAGTCGTCTTCTTCTTATGAGGATTAGAATTAGTCTTAGTCGTATTAGCAGTATGATTTAGTATGAGTAGTATGAAAATATTCGTATTCGTACTTGAATTATTCCTCTTCTTAATTGTATTACTCTGAGTCGTGTTATTATTATTATTATATGATTCGGAATATTATTATTCGTGTGGCTGTTCTTCTTTTTCATCATCATCATCATCATCGTCAGCATCAGCATCATCGTTTGCATCATCAGCATCAGCAGCATCATCATCGTCATCATCAGTAGCATAATCAGCATCATCATTATTATCATCATCAGCATCAGCATCAGCATCGTCATCGGCATCGTCATCATCCTCATCATCATCATCATCAGCAGCAGCATCCTCCTCATCATCAGCATCGTCATCATTATCTGCATATTTCTCCTCCTCCCTCCTTCCTCCAACCCCTCACATGCCCTCCCCTCCTCCTCCTCCTCCTCCTCCTCCTCCTCCTCCAATTCCTCCTCCATCCTCCTCTTGGGGTATGATGGCTGCCCCAGCCCTGCACTCCATTGCAGGCTTCAGGGCAACTCGCCTGGGCATCGTTTCTGGATGGGCCGGTGGGGTTACGCGAAGCGCCTACAATCTACTGAGCTCTAACATGATCCACCATATTCTGACGGCTCTACTTTACTACATCCTCCCCTGTTCTACTCTACTCGCCTACGCTCTACTCCACTCTACTCTATGCTACCATACTCTATCATACTGTATCATCTGCCCTACTCTACTCTGCTCTGATCTGCTCTACTTTACCCTACTTTACTCTAGCCAACCCTACCGTGACCTACTGGAGTGCAAGTGTCTATACTAGGATCTGATCTACTCCTACTCCACTATACGCCCACTCTGGTATAGTATCTTATACGCGGGTGCACTCTGTTGTACTCTAGTATATGCAGTTGTCCAGGGCTCTACTATACCATCTACCCTACTCTGGCCCATTCTGCTCTACTCGACCGACCCTATCTTACCCCAACCTACTCGAGTCGAAGTGTCTCTATTCTACTTTATTCCTATGCTGCTCCACGCCTGCTCGAAAATAGCATTATGCACTCTACTCGACTCGAATTACTCTACTCGGTTGTACTCTACTGTGCTCTATTATACACAATTCGATTCTATCATCTACCCTATTATACCCTACTCTGCTCTACTCTGGCTTACCATACCCAACCAGAACCTGCCCCTATTCTGCTCTGTTCTACTCTACTCCAAGCGGGTCTACTCTCCGAAGCCACTTCGGCTCAAGGAGCTCACTCTTTCGAGTGTATCCACGGATGCCGCTGGTCCGCGGCCAGTCCTCAACGGTTCCAAGTCCAGGGCTTGCCCTGGTACTCCATATCCAGAAGCACGGGGTCGCCGCCAGAAGCAGAGTGCGTGATGCCACGAGGACCGCGGACGCCGCACTGACCGCGCCGCTGCGGCTTCATCGGCGACAACAAGTGTTCAGCCCAGGCCGGGCGGGAGGCATGGAAGAACCACAAGCTCGCGGGGCTCGGTAGCATCGGGACGCCATCACCAAGGGGAGCGTGGGCACCATCGGCTACGGCAGCCAAGAAGCGCACGCAAGTGTCTCCCAGACCCCAAGCGCGAGGCGACGGTAGCTAAGCAGACAGCCTTCATCGAGCTCAAAGCCGAGGTCGGAGGAAGAGAAGCAAGCAAAGACATCCCTGTCACGCCCGGGAAGCTGGCCATCAAGTAGAATCACATACATGCACAGCGTATATCTCGCACCACCACCACTATCACCACCACAATTACACCCATCATTCTCACCATCACCATCACCATCACCATCACGATCGCCGTCATCATCATCATCATCATCATCATCATCATCATCAGCATCATCATCATCATCATCATCATCATCATCATCATCAGCGTCAGCATCAGCATCATCATCATCATCATCATCATAATCATAATCATTAATCATCATCAGCAGCATCATCATAATCACCATCGTCATCGTCATCGGCATCGTCGCCATCATCATCATCATCATCATCATCATCATCATCATCACCATCATCAGCATCATCACCATCGTCATCGTCATCGGCATCGTCGCCATCATCATCATCATCAGCATCATCATCATCGTCCTCACCACCACCACCATCATCATCAGTATCATCATCATCATCATCATCATCATCATCATCAGCATCATCATCATCATCATCATCATCATCATCGGAATCATCAACATCAACATCAACACCTTGATCATCAGCAGTACAGCAGAACCGTCATCATCATGAGCATCATTATCATCGTAATCATCGCCATCATCGACATCATCATCATCATCATCGTCGTCATCATCAGCATCATCAGCATCGTCATCGTCATCATCAACGTCATCATCACCATCATCAACAATATAATAATCAGCATCATCATCATTATTATCATCAACGTCATCATCGTCATCGCCATCTGCATCGTCATCATCATCATCCGCATCATCGTCATCAACAGCACCATCATGATCAGCATTATCATCACCACCACCACCGTCATCATGAGCATCACCACAATTACCATTACCATCCACAATCAACAGCACAACCACGACCACCATCACCATCACCATCACCACCACCATCTTCATCATCACCACCGTCACCATCATCATCCTTATCATCACCACCACCGTCATCATCATCATCATCATCATCATCATCATCATCATCGACCGCATCATCAACATCATCATCGCCATCATCACAGTCATCATCATCACCACCACCATTATCATCATCAGCAACAACACCGTCACCATCATCACCATCACCATCACAATTAGCATTACCATCACAATCCACAATCATCATCACCATCACCGTCACCATCACCATCACTATCACTAATATCGTCACCAGCATCATCATGATCACCATCACCATCGCGTTCACCATCACCGTCACCATCATAATATAATCATCCTCAACAACACCGTAATCGTCATCGTCATCGTCATCGCCATCGCCATCGTCATCATCACAATCACCATCACCATCACCATCACCATCATCACCACCACCACCATCATCATCATCATTACATCATCATTGCATCATCATCATCATCATCATCATCATCATCATCATCATCATCATCATTGTCATCACCATCATCATCATCAGCATCATCATCACCATCATCATCATAAACATCATCATCATCATCATCATCATCATCATCATCATCATCACCCGCATCATCCGCCTCGTCATCCTCATCCGCCTCCTCCTCCTTCTCCTCCCTCCCTCCCTCCCTGCCTCCCTCCCTCCCCACCAGATCGCCGGATCGCGGCCCCCGACGTCTTCCTCTGTTGCCGCGGACCGGCGGGCCAGGCGGAGCCCCGCGCCGGCTCGCGGGCGCAAGAGGGAGAGACAGCGAGAGACCGCGCAGGGCACTGCGCAGCAGGGCTTGCCCGGTCCGTCAGGGCGAGTCTCGAAATCCACGAAATGGCCAAAAGCAAACATCGCACGCGCGATATAAAATGAGGTGTCGCAAAAGGCGACGACGAAATCAATGGATATTTTCAAATTTGATTTCGAACCCGGCCCAGGCCGGCCCACTTCGTTGATTAAAGCTTCCCGGTAATAAGCTGCCCCCAGGGACAAGGCGAGACCTCCCCAGACCCCCTCGCGCTGTCTATTCCCAGCCTCCCTCAGAGGTTCAAACCTCTGGGGACCGACGCTACGAGAAAATCACGACGTCGGGGGTCTGGCCCTGAAGCCCGCGGGTGGAAACATGCCCTGCAATCCCGACGTTGCCACGTGTCACGCCGGGCGCTTCGCCCAACCCCGGGCCCCTGGGCCAGCGCGCATCGACCCGGCTCGAGGAATGCCGCAGAGAGATGGGTCCAGAAAGCTCCAGTCGCGAATTTTCGCGACGCTGTATTCGTTCCGCTCTTCGCAACGTCCGATCTCAGCGCTCACATCATCGGATGCGCAGACACCTTGCGCGATTCGGACTGCCCAATCCGACTCGCGCGCAACTGGGCAAGAAATCCGCTGGCACGCAAGAAGATGGTCCTGAGGGAAACGGGTCCTCGAATCGGCTTTTAGCCCCAAACTGGTTTTTCCACAGCCCAGAGGAGCCTGGACGGGCCTCGAGAGGCCAAAAACAGCGGAGGACCTGTGGACCCCCACTCGCTCATGGCCCCTGCTCTTCGCGGCGAACTCGGGCGCAGTTGGGCACGACGTCAGAAATCCCAGCGCTCCAGGCATGTCGCCTCTCTCTAGGTTGGCCCGGAAAGGACTCCCCAGAGCCGCCAGCGCCTGCTGGCAACCCCCGGAAGACCCCAGCCTGGAGGCCGGGGGTTCTGCGCTGGAGCTCGAGGCCCTCGAGCCCGGGGGGAGGAGGAGGAGGAGGCTGCCACGTTCGCACCCGTTCCCAGCCTGGCCAGGCCACCCATGCTGGGCCCACGCTCGGTGCCCTCCGGGCCCCGGCCGGGAGGGCGCCCGTGCACCGAAGGGCCCCGGGCGGCCCTGGCCAGGAATGGCAGCGCAGGGCTGCCTCCCGCGGACGTCGCCGTGGCGACGAGGGCGCCCCCGGAGGCACAGGGCAGGCGGGAAAGGTCCACAGTCCTGGCCCCCGCTGCTCCTCGATCTGCGGGGACCTTTCGGGACCCCTTCGCCTTCAGGATGCGTCGCCCCTCGCGCGCTCACCGGTCCAGCCCGTCGGGCACCCTGCCGCGCCCCGAAGCCGAGGGTGTGCCGCGCGGCGCCTCTTTGCCCCCCACGGCGCTGGGAGGTCAGCGCGGCGCAGCGCTCGGCAGCGCGGGGCGGTGCTGCACGCTCCCGAGTGGCAGACCTCGGAGAGGACTGCTCTTTTCCAGTCCCGGCGCTTTCTGGTGGACCCAAAGAGGGGGTCCAGCTACAAGGGGGTGGCGCAACAGCTCTGGTGCAGTAGATCTGCGGGTGGCAATAGATTTGGCGCGTGCAGTACCCTCCGGGGCGCAAATGTGTATAGCTGGATTTTCCCTTGCAACGCATTAGCTGCAATGCAATGCGATGCAGTTCTCTGGCGCAATACCCTTGCAGTACACCTGCCCCAAATCTATTGCACCACCCCCTTCCAGCTGGACCCCCTCCTGGGTCACCCCAACGCTCACCCTCGAGCTCTCCGAGCTGCACGCCAGGGTAACCCTCGGCGAGGGGTGGTCCTTGGTGCGCGGTCTTCGGGGCGCGAGAGGGGGCCAAGCCCAAGCACCCAGGCTGCCGCTGCTGCATCGCAACCGGCGATCGGGGACCGCACCACAAGGTCACTCCGGCGAAGGGGTCACTCCTGTTGGAAGAGAAATGTTTGCACCACCTCGGCTTGAATCGGATGGCACTGCTGCTCCCCCGCGCCCCCGACTTTAATATTGATGGTTGTGGCATCTCCCGAGGCCCTTCGAAAAACAAAGATGCACTCCATTTCAGCGTGCGCGTCCGCTCTCAATGGCAAGGTCGGGGGCGGGGGGGTCGCATCATCAGTTGTCGTGCCGCCCAGGTGGTGCAAACTTGTTTCTTTCAACCGTCTGACGGGCAGTCGGAATCTCGGCCTCCCGGGGCCGCTTTCGGTCCCCGGGGCCGTCGGGAGTGGATCGGGGGCGAGGGGCTACCCCCGATGAAGGGAGGGGCCGGGGCGCGTGAGGCCAACGGGCGGAAGAGAAAAACAGCCCTTTCGGAGGTCTGGGGGTGGGCCAATACGCAGCGAAGGTGGCAGCATGAAGGAGAACCACGACAGCAATCAGGGCTTCCGCAGCGTACGCGCTGCCACGCCGCGCCGCTGCAGCGATCGACTCGCAGCACGCCCACACGCCCGACATGAGCAGGAAGTTGCAGAGCGCCAGCGCCGTCACAGTGGCCTTGGGTCCCCATGACCTCTGGATCAGGCGGTCGGCGGCTGTGAGCAAGAGGGCTGCTGCCAGCGGAAAGACTGCGGTCGTCACGGAGAGCCTGTGCACGTATCTGAGCAGCATGAAGAGGGCGGCCTCGCGATGCAAAATGTCGACTGCCAAGCCGTCAATGTTCTGCAGGAGATATGGGAGCGTCATGCACGCGACATAAGGATAAGGGATCCCACTGCGGCCGAACGAGGCAGCTAGTTTCAGGGGCAATTCACGACGGACTAAGCTCTCAAATTCAGAAATGACCTCCGCATCACTGGCAGCCTCATACACGAAGCCCCTGTGTCGCATCAGCCTGAGGACATTTTCCTCAACAAGTGCACGATCATCCTCGACGAAACACTCTGCCTCGGCCAACCGGAAGCGGCTCACGGTCTCCGATACTTGCAGCCTATAATTTGCGACGCAGAAACCCGCAACCGTGCCGCAAGGGACGGAGCAAAAGTGTCCTCAGCTCCTTCGATTTCTCTGCATTAAATATTTACGATACTCTCTCAGGGAACTGGACCCCTGTCCCAGGCGCTCTTGGGAATCCCCGCGTAAGTTCTCGAAAGGCCAAAACCATGCAGCAACTTTCAGATTATTCCAAAGCTTCGGCCCCGGAGGGGTGAACCCGAACTGGCCAAGTCAGACCTCTTGCGTCAAGATTGCACCCGAGACCCCCAAGAGACCCCCCAAGAGGCCCCAAGAGATGCCCAAGAGGTGCCCAAGAGGCCCGTCCGAAGAGGCCATCAAGATGCCCCCAAGAGGCAGTCCAAGAGATCCCAAAAGCCATCTAAAAGGCTCCTCCTCCTCCTCCTCCTCCAAATGCCCATAATCCGGACATGGTGGTGGGATGGGCCGAAGGCCACTCGATAAACATAGCCGGCACAGAAAGACACCACCAGCAGTGCAAAGAAGAGCCACGTGTAGTACGTCATGGAGCCAAGGTGCACGTAGACCCCATCGATGTGCACCACATTTCCCGTCATGTTGTAGCAGAAGTTCAGGGAAATACCAACGATGAGGGTTTTCCAAAGGAGCGCATGCCTCACGAGAAGGGGCCTGCCGGGATTCAGCGTGAGGAAAACTGCCACCTCGTATACGGTCCAGAGCTTTCGCAAGTACAGGTCGGAGAAGCACACCACCATGTCTGTTGAATGGTACAGAAAAGCAGCTAGATGAAGTATGCCCTGCTCCTTCAGATCGGCGTTCACTTGATGTATGCAAGCTTTGTCGATAAACATGGATTTGCCTCTCTGTCGGCATAGCTTCAACACATGTTGCCTAAAGAGAATTATACACATGAATGTCTGGATACCACAGACCTGACACCAGATGCTTTCTTGTGATCTGCCCTCCCACTGCAAAAGAAGCGTGGGGAGATGTCCAGTGGACACAAATACCATAAGGATGACAGCAACGAGAGAGGTGACAAGTACGGCCGCCCTCATGTTGAGGAAGACGGCGAGGGTGAGGAACTTGGTCCACCGCGGCATCGCCCAGTTATGGGAAAAGAAAAAGTCCAAGTGGCGAACGCACTGCGACGAGTTGTAGTACCTCTCCTCTGGCGCAAAGGGGGCGTGCTCGAAGATCGCGCCGAAGCGAGTGAGGCCGTCCGCCTCCGAGACGCCCCGGAACAGGTGCTGCGTCTCGTCCGTGAACGCGAGGGTGTCGGGACAGCCGCGGCTCCTCCTCAGGCCGACGAGGGTCGGCTTGAGCACCACGGCGCGGCGCGATGCCGTCGAGACACAGGTGTCGGTCCGCACCATCGGATCGGGGCAACGATGGGGGGGGGGGGTTACGCTCAAGGGCGGGACGCAACCTCGGCGGCGAGCGAGGGGGGGACGCGAGAAGGAGACGGCCCTCTCGGAAGCCCTCGGGCCTTCTGGAAGAGTGCTCTGTGCCTTCGGGGGAGGCTTCGAAAACTCCTCGAAGGGCCAGGGGCTTCCGAGCTGAGCCGCCCCGATGCGCAGCACGCAGCGCGTAGCGTATTGACACGGAGCTCGACGCGTAGACTGAACACGTACGTCTGGCGCGACACGTTCGCCAAAACGTGGGCCACTACGCTGAACTAACACGCCACGTGTCGACACAGACGCTTCGAACACGGCACGTGCTGCGTATCAGAACGGGCGTACGGAGGCTCAAAATGAACCTCATGCATGTCTTACGTGGCTGAACTGTTTGTGGGGAGATACTGGTCAGAGTTGCGGTGACTGCGAGGTACTTGTGTGCACCGTCCCTCCAATGTCGGTCATCATCGAACTTCCGAGACGTTCCTGGTCAGACCACTTTTGCCTTGACCCCGACATTGGAGGGGCGTCTATCGACATTGAGGGGCGCGCCGACATCACAGGGGCGTGGTCGCCGTTTTTGAGGTTAATTTTGACGAAGCTGGTAGTACTATATGGCGGGCGTGGTCTCGCAAGCCCGGCTGGGCCACCACATTTTGTTCGCTACTTCAAGAAAGAAACAGTCTCCCTCTCTCTCTCTTTCGCTCTCTGTCTCTGTCTCTGTGTCTGTCTCTGTCTCCGTCTCTGGCTCTGGCTCTGGCTCTGGCTCTGGCTCTCTCTCTCTCTCTCTCTTTCTCTCTCTCTCTCTCTCTCTCTCTCTCTCCCTCTCTCTTTTGTTTTTCTCTTTCTCTCCTTCTCTTTATCTTACTCTCTTTCTCTCTTTCTCTCTCTCTCTCTCTCTGTTTCTCCCCCCCTCTCTCTCTATGTCTCCCTCTCTCTCTCTCTCTCTCTCTCTCTCTAGTCTCGGCTCGAGAGTGCCCAGCACTCAGACCGCAGCCGCGACGCGAAGCGCCCCGCCTCGGAGTCAGTCTCCCAGGCCTCGCGAGACCGGAGGGGTCCCCCCAGGACCCTACTGATTCGCGTCACCTCTCCTCAGTGCGACCGCCGCCATGGCCCCCCTGTCTGCGCCAGGCCGCCACCGCACCTTCACGTCTCACCATGCTGTACTACCTGAGCTACCTGGCCATGTTACTGTGCACAGGCACCAGGACCTTGTCTTCCGCGTGCCCGTCCTGCACGGGCGCGACCTCCCAGTGCCACCTGGACACGCCCCACACGTGCCGCGTGCGGATCTTCACGAAGATCTACGTATACTTGGGCATGACGTGTTTCACCTGCGCGCCGAGCTGCGCGCCTACCGCGCCGACCTCCGCGCTCACTTACCAGGCACCGACGCCAACACCGACGACTCCGTCCAGCACCTGCACACCTCGGTACGGCCAGGTATCCAGGGGGGGGTCGGGCTCCCGACTGCTGAGGGTGACGGTGCTGAGTGCGGTCGGGCTGTTCCCACGCCTGCCGTCGTCGCGCCGTGCGTGACAAGCAGTCGGCCCCCAACCTCCCCCCGAGAGCGCTCCCGCGGCAACGTAGGCACCGCTCTCATCTTCATCGGCATTATCTTGCTGAACTTCGGGTACGGCCTTGGCTCCACCTTCGGCATCGTCCTCGGCACCGTCGGTCCGCAGACAGCATCGACGCCAGCTCTGACGACGGCACTGCAGTCAGCATCGACGCCAGCGAGTGGTACGGATTCGGCACCACCCTCGCCTCCTCCCTCACCCCGCCCCGCAGGAGGAGGAGGAGACGATGACGACCACGACGACCTTGACGACTCATTACCGGCGCCGGCGCCGAGGTCAGCACCGACGCTCCTACCGAAGGCAGTCGCCGATCTATCGATGATGCATGCATATACGACCACAGTCTCGCTGACCCCGACGGCAGCATTGACGGCGGCGAGGACGGCTCCGACGGCAGCACCGCTAGCATCACAGACTCCGACGGACGTCAGTACCACAATCAGCCACTCCTGCGCTACCTGTATTGCCACTCGCTCGGCGGCGCCTTCAGGCCCGCCGAAGTCTGGTGACCTACAGACCTCTCCTCGGCATCATCGTCTCTCAGAGTTGCAGCCAGCTTCGACGCCAGCTCCGACGTCCGTATCGAGGCCAGCACCGACGCCAGCCCCTACGACAACACCGCCAGCGTCAACACCCATGCCTGCGCCTACGCCGTTACCTACGCCAGAGTTGCAGGCCGCATCGACGCCAGCTCCGGCGTCTCCAGCGAAACCAGCACCGACGACAGCTCCTATGCCAGCACCGCCAGCGGCACCAACCACTATTATTTATCCCACCCCGCCGACGACCCTGGGTGTCCCTAGGCTAGCACCGCCGACCACCGCATCCATTGAGGCGCCCACGTCCACATCAACGACAGCACCGACGGCAGCATCGAGGCCAGCCTCGATGAGTCTTCAGCCAGTCACTGCTCTGACGCCTCGTCCATGGCCGCGGGCGGGAGTGCAGCCTTCAGGCGCACTCTCCGCTAGCGGGGCCGCCATGTCATGTCATGCCACGTCCGCCTCGTCGCCCGTATCGTCTGTGTCACTATCTGCGCCGACGACCACATCGACGCCACCACGGACGGCAGCTGGGACGTCCGCATCGGCAGCGACAGTTTTCGGGCGACCGCCTTCGACGTCAGCAGTGGCAGACTCGCCGGCGGCGGCGCAAACGTTGCCACCCACGGTGGCACCTACGGCAGTCCCCCAAACGGCCTTCACAGCGGTATCCACGATAGCACTCATGACTACATCCACGGTGGCATACACGGCCATGGCTCCCGTGCCCACGTCCGCACCGACGCCAGCATTGACGACAGGATCGGCCTCAGTATCGTCGGCACCGACAGCGGCATTGACGACGAGATCGACACCATCAGGCACACCCACGGCTATTGGGGCCGCCGTACCACGCCGCATCATGCCCGCCACGCTGTCACCTACGGCCCCACCGACCCAAACAGCGACGTCAGCACCGACGACCGCATCGACGCCAGCCTCGGCGAGCCCTCAACCATTCACTGTCCTGACGCCTCGATTAGGGCCGCTGGCGCGGGTGCCGTCTTCAGGCGCACCCTACGCTAGTGGGACCGCCATGTCATGTCAGGACACGCCTGCCTCGTCGATTTTTTCGTCTGCGGCACTGTCTGCATCGACGACAACATCGACGACTACGCCGGTACCCATGCCAGTGTTGCAGCCAGCATCTACGCCAACTCCGCCGTCTGCATCGGCGCTCGCATCCATGGCAGCATCGCCCATAGCTTTGACACCAGCACTGCCAGCGGCAGCTCCCACGCCCACGCCTACGCGGGCACCAACGTTGACACCAGCACCCACACCGGCACCGAGCGCAGCCGAGACGTCATCGCCGACGATTACTCTCATGCCAACCCTGCCAGACTCAGCACGCCCTGAGTCGTCCGCGGCGGCGCCAAAGGTGGCACCCACGTCGGCCTACACGGCAGCGTTCGTGGAGCGTGTGTGGTTGGAGGTCATCGAGTGGTACAGCGTGGTGTCATTGTCCACGTGGGCCACCTTGTGCGCCACGTACGGCATGTACTACTTCTCCATCGGCATCCGCGACGAGTGGCGGCGACGGAGCGCAGCTACAGCGCGGCGCCGACGCCGACAGTGCGGCGGCGACGTCGACCGCAGACGCCCTCTAGGCCACCAGACGGCCGCCCAGGGCCGCCCTGGCATCAGCCCCCACACTGCCTCGAGCCTCGAGCCGACCTCCCTGCCAAAACCTGGGAGCACGCCAGCGGGGGCGGCTTCAGCCCCCCCGCATGGCACCACGCCTGCCATTCCTGTCATCGGCCCCCACACTGCCTCAAGCCTCGAGTCGCCCCCCCCGCCAAAACCTGGTAGCACGCCAGCGGGGGCGGCTTCAGCCCCCCCGCATGGCACCACGCCTGCCATTTCTGTCATCGGTCCCCACGCTGCCTCGAGCCCAGGGGTGACCTCCCCGCCACAACCTGGTAGCATGGCAGCGGGGCCAGCCTCGGCCGTCTCACATGCTCACACGCCTGCCCTGGATCCTGGCTCCCTCGCAATCCCGCGTGTTAGCATTAACACTCCCAGCACTAGCACTGCGACTGTACGGGAGCACCTCGAGCGCTACCTCGGACCACAACCAGCCACCATCGGTTACCTCCGAGCTGTCAACCGCCGCTTGGCAGCTCGGATTCCACCGCGGCTCCACGCCGGCACCGAGGTTGTCGTAAAAGGCCAGGTCCACAACCCCATCAACGGCCTCCGAGGCATCGTACGAGGGCCGTCCAGGGAATACCCAGGCCTCTGGACCGTCACGCTGCCTACTGGTGACACTGCCCACCTCCGCGGTTCCAACTTGACCGTCCCAGCACCTCCGCTGCGCGCCGAGGTGCCGCCCACCAGTACAGGCATACTCACGAGGGCGCCAATTCAGGACCCCCAGCCGGCCCCCGCAGCGTACACAAGTTGCATCAGTCTGGCGGCACGGCGGCCTGTCGACTCAGCGGCGGCACCCTGCAAGTCGGCCTCGCTGCCTGCCGCCAGCAGCCGCGATCAGACGGACAACACGGCTGGCCACGACGAAGGCCTCGGTGGCTCACGCGATGACGGTGACGACGACGGCCTCCTCCTCGGGGTACAGGTCGAGATCACCGCACCGACCAGCCCTCTGCGTGGATACATCGGCACAACCATCGACTTGTCTGGCGACCGCGTCGTGGTCCAGTTCACCGGCGGTCTCACCGTCGGTTGGAGCCGCTCCGATGTGACTCGCGTTCGAAAAGACCCAGGGCTTCGGCTGTCAGGCAGCACGCAGAAACTGATGCGGCGCCTCGACCAGTCGCCGCGCCCCTTCCCCGGGACTGCCCTGGAGCCCCTCCATGACATCCCGGAGGAGCTTGTCCCTTCTGACCTCCCGCCTGCCCCCTGGACGGCAACATCGGTGGAAAAGACAAGTGTCTGTTGTTCACACCTGCTACACATGCGTACAAACACTCACTCTGACTCTATTCTGTGATGTCAGAAACAAGGATGCCGCCACACAGTGTCTCAGCCTGATGGGTCAGAAACAAGGATGCCGCCACACAGTGTCTCTCCCCTGCCGGCACGAGCGGCGGTGTTCGAATTGGGACCTCTTCCACAAACGTCTTTATGCCTGCTGCGGGGGTGGCGGCTTCAGCCCCTCCCCACGCACTCGTGTCTTCACGCCATGTCATGTCCGCCATGTCGTTGCGGGTGCATCCGCTGTGAGGGCCTCCATTGCACCTTTGCACTGTCTCTGCCTGTGAGCATGCGGGCCATTCGGCTCCCAGCATGTGCTCCTTTTCCTCGGCGCGTCTGGCGCCCCTCTGCTGTCCGCCGCCTGGGCGCGGACTCTGTCACTTTCGAGGTCCGCCAATGGGGGCTAAAGGTTAGCTGGCAGCGGCTGGTGCCGCTGTGCTGTCGGCTAGCCTTTGCCGCTCCTGTTGGGGTTCTCGGCCTGTGCGCACTGTGCTGGGCCACACGGCTCCCAGCTGGTGCACCTTTTCTCTTTTCGCCAGCCCGTGCGCCCGCGAGGCACCGCGTCCACGGGGCCTGGGCGCGGGGGCGGGGGGTGCCCCGTCTCTGCGCGCCGCGCAGCGGCCAAGCGCCCAACCGGCGGTCCGCCAAGCCGCCATAGCCACGTTCTTCACGTCGCCTTTCTTGTTGGGGCCTTTTTCTTCACGCGGTCTGACACGTGAGATCTTCACAGTCTGTCCGCCGTCCGTAGCTTCAGACGCAATGCGCCGGGGGAGGGGGTCTGTTGCCCGCCCTCGTATCTTAAGGCTGCACCGCCGCTAACAGTGTTTTGCGGGTTGACGCACCGCAGTGCGCCTCGCGGACGGACCCTGGTCCGCCTACTTGTCCGGTCTCTCTCTCTCTCTCTCTCTCTCTCTCTCTCTCTCTCTATCCCCATCATTATTTCTCTCTGTCTCTCTTTCTCTGTCTCGCTTTCGCTTTCGGTGTCTACATATCTCCCCCTCGTTATTTCTCTCCTTCTTTTTTTTCTCTCCCTCTCTCTTTTTCTCTCTCTCTCTCTCTCTCTCTCTCTCTCTCTCTCTCTCTCTCTCTCTCTCTCTCTCTCTCTCTCTCTCTCTCTCTCTCTCTCTCTCTCTCTCTCTCTCTCTCTCTCTCTCTCTCTCTCTCTCTCTATATATCTCTCTCTATCTCTCTCCTCTCTGCTCTCTTCGCTACTGGCTTCTGACGGAGTCTGGGTTAGGTGAGCCTGAGTGCGGGTGAGTCTGAGTATGGGTACGTCTGTGTGTGCCTGACTCTGAAGAAATGAATCTGAGTGTGAGTGAGCTTGTGTATGAGTGAGTCTGGGTGCGAGTCTGAATCCCAATGGTGCCCCTGTCAGTGTCTGGCGACTAGGAGGCCCGGGTCGACTCCTCTTTGGGAAGCCAAAATGCTGCCCCTGGCAGCGTTTGGTGACTATGAAGCCCCTGGTGGACCCCCCCTGGGGCTCCCAGGTGATGCCCCTGGCAGCGTTTTGCGACCATGAGGCTCTCAAGAGAGACATGTTGGGAGGCCAAACGGCAATTTTAGCTGAGACGTCCCACCAAAATCGGCGCGAACGGGCTCGTGAGATCAGCCAGGGTGGCTCCCCCTTGGGGCTCCCAATGATGCCCCTGGCAGCGTTTTGTGACCATGAGGCTCTCAAGAGATACATGTTGGGGACGCCAAACGGCAATTCTAGCTGAGGCGTCCCACCAAAATCGGCGCGAACGGGCTCGTGAGATCAGCCAGGGTGGCTCCCCCTTGGGGCTCCCAAATGATGCCCCTGGCAGCGTTTTGTGACCATGAGGCTCTCAAGAGAGACATGTTGGGGAGGCCAAACGGCAATTTTAGCTGAGAAGTCCCACCAACATCGGCGCGAACGGGCTCGTGAGATCAGCCAGGGTGGCTCCCCCTTGGGGCTCCCAAATGATGCCCCTGGCAACGTTTTGTGACCATGAGGCTCTCAAGAGAGACATGTTGGGGAGGCCAAACGGCAATTTTAGCTGAGACGTCCCACCAAAATCCGCGCGAACGGGCTCGTGAGATCAGCCAGGGTGGCTCCCCCTTGGGGCTCCCAAATGATGCCCCTGGCAGCGTTTTGTGATCATGAGAGTGTGTGAGTGTGAGTGAATGTGACTGTGAGTGAGTCTGAGTGAGAGTGAGTCTCATCTTATCTTATCGAGTCCTATCTTATCTTACCTTTATTACCCTCTATCTTATCTTATCTTGAAATCTCTTATCTTGTCTTAGCTTATCTTATATCAACTCATCTTATCGCATCATATATTGTCTTATCTTATTACTCCATAGGCTGTCTTATCTTATATGTTATCCGACCTTGTCATATATCTTATCTTACATTATCATATAATGTGATATCTTATACTATCTTGTAGTATATTATCTTGTCTTGTCTTATCTGGTGATTATCACTGGGAGGAGGGAGGCGCGAGCGGGAGGAAGGAGGAAGGAGGAGCAGTGGGAGGCGTCAGAGTAATAACAAGAACCCCAATCCTTAGGATATGGGGAATAATATAAATTTAAAACAAGGTAGAAATCGGATCCGCCGTAAAAAATGAGACCGGACACGGATCCAAGCAATCCGGAATCGGATCCGTACGGACGGAAATCGGATCCACCGAAACAAACACCAAAGCCACATTTGGATTTGCGCGAGCTTCATGAGATCCGACGGCGGTTATCTCATACGGGTCTGCTGAAGACTTCACACCGTCGTTCCGGGCCCAAGAGGGAAAAACTTTCGTCCTGGGGATGAGCGTGTTGGCCTTCGGACTCGTTGGTTACCACGTAGCCGACACACCACATCTCACAGACAAAGAAAGATAGCATAAAACACAAAGAGAAAAAAAAAAAAAAAGCAAAAAGAAACAAAAAACAAAAACCAGAGGAAAATAGAACAAAAGACAAAAAAAAAGAAAAAAGTCCCGTTGTTGGTTACCACACAGCCGACACCACATCTCACAGGCAATCCGTTGGGTGAGGAGACGCAGGGCCGAAACGCACTGAGCGTTTTGGCCTTCGGACTCGTTGGTTACAACGTAGCCGACACACCACATCTCACAGACAGTCCGTTGTTGGTTACCACACAGCCGACACCACATCTCACAGGCAGTCCGTTGGGTGAGGAAACGCAGGGCCGAAACGCAGAGCGTTTTGGCCTTCGGACTCGTTGGTTACCACGTAGCCGACACACCACATCTCACAGACAGTCCGTTGTTGGTTACCACACAGCCGACACCACATCGCACAGGCAGTCCGTTGGGTGAGGAGACGCAGGGCCGAAACGCACTGAGCGTTTTGGCCTTCGGACTCGTTGGTTACCACGTAGCCGACACACCACATCTCACAGACAGTCCGTTGTTGGTTACCACACAGCCGACACCACATCTCACAGGCAGTCCGTTGGGTGAGGAGACGCAGGGCCGAAACGCACTTACGCAGGACGAAAGTTTTTCCTCTTGAGGTGAAAATGGCCATGGGGAGTTCGCGAGACAACGTCGGCGCCGCCGAACGGACGCCGACCGGACGAGTTGTTTGCAGCAGCCGGGGGGGGAGGGATGTATGTATTCATGTTGAATGGGGCCCGCTCGCGCGGGGAGTTGATGGGAGTGCGCGAGACGACGCAGGGCCCATCGTGGAAAATTGATTACCGAACCCCCCTCCCCCATAGAATCTTAACACGGGCGGTTTGCGGGGTCCGCGGATCCGATTTCTTCCGGTCTCCTGGTTTAATTTAATAATATAAATTTAAAACAAGGTAGAAATCGGATCCGCCGTAAAAAATGAGACCGGACACGGATCCAAGCAATCCGAAATCGGATCCGTACGGACGGAAATCGGATCCACCGAAACAAACACCAAAGCCACATTTGGATTTGCGCGAGCTTCATGAGATCCGACGGCGGTTATCTCATACGGGTCTGCTGAAGACTTCACACCGTCGTTCCGGGCCCAAGAGGAAAAAACTTTCGTCCTGGGGATGTATCAGCATCAGCATCAGCATCAGCATCAGCATCATCATCATCATCATCATCATCATCATCATCATCATCATCATCAGCAGCAGCAGCATCATCATCATCATCATCCTCGACCTCCTCCTCCTTTTCCTCCTGCTGATCCTCCGCCTCCTCCTGCTAAGCCGCGCTCGAAGGAACTGGTACTGCGTGCTGGTGTTCCGCGAGTACTCGGAGTATCTTCCGTATTGCGCATTCAGGGACGCCTCCGAGAGCGACGGGTCGTCGGACATCACGTACAGCATATTAGGCTTCACCGTCAGATTGGCCACCTGCTGGGAGATGCAGGAAGCAAAAGGAGGAGGAGTAGGAGGAGGAGGAGGAGGAAGTGGACGGGGAGGGGAAGGAGGACGGGAAGGGCGAGGGAGAGGGAGGACGACGTCGGGAAGAGGACAGGAAGGGCAAGGGAGAGGAAGTTGTGCCAGCGGAGCACGGGCGGGCCAGGGGCGGAGGCGATGATAGGGGGGGGGGGCGGGGGCGGCTGGCATAGGGCCTCCTCCCTGCGTGCCACTTATGTCACGAGGGCTGGGAAGGGAAAGCAACCCTCCTCCTCGCCCTCCTCCTCTCCTCCTACCCCGCCTCCTCCTCCCTCTTCGCCTCCTCCTCCTCTCGTCCCTACTCCTCCGCGTCCTACTGCTCCTCCTCCTCCTCCTTCCTCTTCCTCCTACCTCCTCCTCTTCCCTCTTCGCATCCTCCTCCTCCTCCTCCTCCTCCTCCGCGTCCTCCTCCTCCTCCTTTCTCCTCCTTCTTTGCCCAATCATGCCTCCTCCTCGAGCGCATTTATAGAGTCGTCGGCCGAGAACGGGCGTTATGATAAGCATAACGTAAAAAAAAAAAAAAAAAAAGAAAAAGGAAAAAATAAAAAAAAAAAAAAAAAAAAAAAAAGCCCCCCCCCCCCCCCCCCAAACCGTGTGATTCTGGAACTACAGAGCCTGTACGCATCACAGCAAGCACCGCAGTGCGCAGCGCAGTATGCACCGCCGCAGCCGCGTGCACCACATCGCCTGTGTACTGCGCGGTGCATGCGTGCAGCTCCGGTGTTTGTTTCCCCCGCGCACACCTTCGAGCATTATTATCTGCTGGCGTTTGCTGGACGGCATGGATGCCAAAGCGCCAAACGACGAAGACGACGAGGACGAGGGCGAGGAGGACGAGGACGAGGACAAGAACGACGACGACGACGACGAAAAGGACGACAACGACGAGGACGAGGACGAGGACGAGGACGCGGACGAGGACGAGGACGACGACGAGAACAATGAAGACGACGACGACGACGAGGACAAGAACGAGGACGAGGACGACGACGGACGACGACGACGACGAAGACGACTACGACGACGACGACGATGAGGATGACAACGACAACGACGACGACGATGACGACAACGACGACGACAACGACGACGAGGACGAGGACGACGGCCGCCTGTGAAGGTCTCTGGAAGTCTCTAAAGTCTCTAGAGGCCTAAGGAGGTCTCTGGAGACCTCTGGAGGCGTCTGGAGGCCCTTCGAAGCCCTCGACGACGACGACGACGAGGACGAGGACGAGGACGAGGACGACGACGAAGAAGACGACGGCTACGACGACGACGATGAGGACGACAACGACGCGGACGAGGACGAGGACGAGGACGAGGACGACGAGGACGGCCGCCTGTGAAGGTCTCTGGAGGTCTACGGTCTTTGGAGACCTCTGGAGGCGTCTGGAGGCCCTTCGAGGCCCTCGGCGGCAACGACGACGGCGACGACGACGACGACGACGACCGCCACGAGGACGAGGACGACGAGGAGGACGACGACGACGATGACGACGATGACGGCGAGGACAACGACGACGACGATGACGACGAGGACAACGACAGCTAAAGCGACGACGACGACAAGGACGACGACGACGGCAACGACACCAATGACGACGACGACGACGACACGGCAACGACGACGACAACACCGACGAAGACGACGACGACGACGACGACGACTAAAGCGACGACGACGACGACGACGACGACGAAGGGGACGACGACGACGACGACGACGGCGACGACGAAGCCGACAACGACGACGACGACGAAGACAACAACAACAACAACAACAACAACAACAACAACAACAACAACGACGACGACGACGACGACGACGACGACGTCAACAACGTCGACAACATCGACGAAGACGACGACGACGAAGACGACAACAACAACGACGACGGCCGCCTCTAAAAGAGTACAGAAGTCTCCCGAGGTCTCAGGAGATCTCTGAAAGTCTCTGGAGACGTTAGCAGGCCCTACGAGAACCTCGGACGCGACGACGAACGTCCAAGCAGCCTGCAAGCACCACAATAGCCTGCGAGCATCATCATGGCAGTGCCGGAGGCGCACCAGGGGGGGAGGGGGGGGGATCGTTACGTTATGGGAGGGTGGGGGGCATCGTTACGCGCGTTATGGCCCAGGTGCTTGAAAAACACGCTCCTCCCTTTTTGCCCTCCTCCCTCCTCCCTGCTCCTCCTCCTCCTCCTCCTCCTCCTCCCCCTCTTCTCCTCCCTCCTCCCTATTTGCCCTCCTCCCTCCTCCCTGCTCCTCCCCCTCCTCTCCTCCTCCCTCCTCCCTCCTCCCTCGCCGCGCCGGCGTAGCGCGCCACCCGCTGCGCCGCGCCGCGCGCCGGCGGCCGATTCTCCCGCGACGGCCGCGTCGGCTGGGTCGAGGGTTGCCGAAGGTGCCCCTGTTGGCGGCGCGCAAAAGGGGGTAGGGGGAGGGGGGAAGGCTTCTTAGAAGCACCCTGCTTCTTAGAAGGCGCGGGCCTTCTCTATAGACGTAAGGCCGAGGCCTTCTGAGAAGCAGGGTGCTTCTGAGAAGCCTTCCCCCCTCCCCCATACCCTCTTTTGCGCGCCGCCAACCGTGGCCCGGAGGTGCCGCGAGCTTTTCGCTCCATTTTGGAGCCCCCGCTGGACCTCGTCGGGGGGTGCTCTGGAGGCCGGGGCGGCCTCCCTCGAGATCCTCGGGGCACCCTGGGGCCAAGGGGAGCTTCTGGCAACATCCGATAGGGGCAGAAACGTCGACCTGGAATCGGCGATACATCGCCGATCGATCGGCAAGATGTCCACGATACTGAGCCCGCACGTTCCTGGGCGGGGTGGCGCTATCAGACCCCTGTCGGCGATCCATGGGCGATTGGGGGTCGATGCATCCCCCCCTCTGCCTGTGCCCCCTAGTTTGAGGTCGGGCACGTCCTCCTACAGGCGGATTTCGGAAGGGAAAAATCCGCCGACCCTGTCGGCGTGTGTGAGGGGCTTCTCCGTTCGACTCGTCGTCTCCGTCGTCTCCGTTCTCCCCCTCCCAGGGCTCTCCTCCTCAAGCGCGGTATCTTAAGCGAAATTAAACGACGTCGTAGTGGAGTCGAAGGGAAGCCCCTTCCCTTTGATCCCTTCCCCGCAGAGGGGGAGGGGGGGGGGGGGGGCGGGGGCAGATAACGACGCTTGCCGGGGCGCACTTTCCTCGAGCGGCACGCACGGGATGCACTTCCCGCCTCCTCTGGTCCACCTCCTCCTCCTCCTCCTCCTCCTCCTCCTCCTCCTCCTTTTTCCTCCCTCCTCCTCCTCCTCCTCCTCCTCCTTCTCCTCTCCTCCTTCTCCTCCTCCTCCTCCTCCTCCTCCTCCTCCTCCTCCTCGTCCTCTTCCGCAAGGGCCGGAGGCGTCCCGGGAGCGTGCCCCTGAATCTCAAAATAACCACCTCCCTTAGTCGCATTTTCCTCGAGCGGGCGCCCCGAGAGGAAAAGAAGAAAGAGAATGATGCACTTCCTCCTGTTCCGGGAGCACGTCCCAAGTCAGAATTCGCCGGCCCAACGGGCCAGGGCGTGCTACCCCGGACGAAAAGTACCCCGGCAAGGTCCCGGCAAGGTCCTGGCAAGTCCCCGGCAAGTCCCCGGCAAGGTCCCGGCAAGGTCGGGCCAGAGATGCCGGAGCCCTGTTACAGGGCCCCAGGACGGGCCAAGCGGTCCCCAAGAAGCCTCCAAGACGGTCCAAGAGGGCCCCGAGACGGCCAAAGATCGCCCGAAGACGCCCAACAGGGCCCCAAGACAGCCCAAGAGGCCTCCAAGACGCCCCAAGGGCCTTCCAAGAGGCCTCCGAAGAGGGCCCCAAGAGGCCAAAATCGTTGATTTTCATTGTTTTTTTCATATGTTTTTTGCCTTCTGGCTTTTTCGGCTTCCGGACGCTCCAAGACGGCCCAAGAGGCCCCCAAGACCGCTCCAAGACGGCCCACGAGGCTCCCAAGACGGCCCCAGAACGGCCCAGGAGGGCCCCCAAGACGGCCCAAGTGCCGCCCAAGACGGACCAAGAGGCCCCAAGACAGGCCCAAGAGGGGCTCAAGAGGGGAACCGAGAACTGAAAAATCGAGCCCTCCGCCCCAGAAGGCGCCCAGGATGCCCCAAAAAGGCCCCAAGAGGCCCCCAATAGGCCCCCAAGACGCCCCAAGAGGCGCCCAAGAGGCCCAAAAGAGGCTCCAAGAGGCCTCCAAAACGGGCCCCCAAGAGGCCCCAAAAAATCGGCTAGCCCACAACGGTGGACAATATGGGCCGGCGGAAATGAAGCACGCGATTAATATATCACAACACTCCCGGGGCGCCACGTCCACGAAGGCGGGCACACAAAGGATGCACTTCCTCCTCCTCCTCCTCCTCCTCCTCCTCCTCCTCCTCTTCCTCCTCCTCTTCCTCCTCCTCCTCCTTCTCCTCCTCCTCCTCCTCCTCCTCCTCCTCCTCCTGCTCCTCCTCCTTCTCCTCCTTCTCCTCCTCCTCCTCCTCGTCATCCTCCACTGCCTCCCCCCCACTCCTAGCTCTTTCGATCAGGGTCGGCGGCACCGGCCGTCAGGCCTCTCCAATAACCAAAGATAGCCCAAGCATCGTCCCATTCTCATTGTTTGCCTATTCTCAAATGTTTCTCCTGTCGAGGAACACGCCCGATTCAACCCTGGTCGTTGCCCCCGACGGGCCCCTGCGGCCGCGTCGCGCCCTGCGGGTGCACGAGCGGCCCCGGCACGGGCGGGACGCACGGGGGCAAGCGGCCGAGGAGCTAGCCGAGGCAACTTCTTACTCGAGAGATATCTGGGCCAGCTTCCCGACTGAGGGGCAACGGTAGGGGGGGGGGGGGACTGGCATATGCGGCATAAGGGGGGGACGCATCAACCTGGAATCGGCGATACATCGCCGATAGATCGGCGAGAGGCCTCCGATCGTGAATCCGTTCCTTCCTGGGCAGGTTGGGGCTATCGGGCCCCTATCGGCGATCAATGGGCGATTGGGGGTCGATGCATCCCCCCCCATGACTGGGCCAGCTTCCCGACGCGTCTCAGCACAAGCCTGGGCTGGTTTCTGCTGCGAAAGCTGGAGGGGCGAGCGCGCTCAAGAACTGGGCCAGCTTTCGGGCAAGGCGGTTCAGAGACGCTGGCTCAGCTTTTCAGGAAAAAGGTTTCTTATTCAGATTCTCGGCTGCACTGATACTCTGTGTCCCGATCGGAGGCGTGCGACCGAGCCGAACAGATGGCCGATTCTGGAAACCCTGAACCCAACAAGGGTGTCATCTCTTGAAGGCCTCTTTCTATTACTTCCGAAGCCTTCCGCAAGCCTTTCGCCAGTGGGGGCGGCCTCGCTTTACTTCCGCCGCTTCCCGCTGAGGGAAAGACGGCAGCTCCGCCGATCCTCAGAGGCAATGGCTTGTTTGGAACCGTCATTGTGTCTTCATCGGAAACCTGCGACCGAGCCGCACATGTGGCACCACCATAATGTAGAGCAGAACTCCCGAACGGCATAGCCAGAAAGCGCCCGCCATGGAGCTCGCGCAAGGGTGCAAGGGCACCCGCGTACGCCGAAGCGCGCCCTGCGCGGGCTGCCGGTGCGCTGCCTGCCCCCACAGCTAATTCTCGCAAGCTTCTCGCAACCACTTCTCACGGGCTTCTCACTACCACTTGTCACATCCAGCCCTCGCAAAAACATCCTCACATGTTGACATCGCTTGACCAGCGTTTCTGGGTTCGGCCTGGCGCCCGAAATCCGCCCGGCGTCCAGTCGAGCACGGCTTTCGACCACCCACTGTCGGCGTCGTCGATGGTATTCCGCAAGAGGGTGCCCTTACGGGACCTGTGACACTGCACCCATGTGCGCAGACCTGCTTTCTCGTACTCGGCCACAGCCTTATGGGTTGCACGGAAGATCCAATCAACGTATGACTCCTCCACCTCTCCCGAATCACTTGCCCTCATAGGAGGCGTCGCAAGAATTGTCCGACGCATTTTTGTCAGTGTTGTCTGGATTTGTGCTTCCCTCGACGCCGCCAGGGTCCACGTGTCCACGTGTCACTTCCATGCAACACAGCAGACGACACCACGGCATCGAACAATCGCAGTCTGGATCGAAAAAGATAATGTTCATTGCAGAGCACAGCCTTAAAATTGCCCAAAAAACCGCCCAGCCATTCGAAATTCGGGGCTGTAATTCAACGTCGTGGAAACCATAAAAACACAATTTCCGCCCGAGATAAGAAACACTTCCGTCCACTGGGAGAGCCTCGATTTTGTCTGATCCAACTTGCAAATGAGATTGCGTAAGGACGCCTCTCCGGCTGACAACGTTAGAGACGACTTTTGCTTTCCCTGCGCGCAGTTCCAGCCCAGCCTCAGCGGCGCGACTTGCCAAGTCTCCCAGAATGTGCCTGATTTGCGCCCGCGTGCCCCCAACCAACAGAATGTCGTCCGCGAAACGAAGATTCGTGAGACGCCTGCCTCCAGTGTCGACGCCGTACTTTTGTTTCTCCCATTTCCGCTTGAGATCTCTCATAGTAGATTTCAGCACTGCATTGAACAACGTGGGGGTCATCGGATCCCCCTGCTTGGTCCCCCGCTCCAAACTGAACGCGCGGCTCGCGCAGTCTGACAGGGTCTGTCCTGTCTGCCCCCTGCGCAGTGCACTCAACACCCAGATGTAGGACTCTGGCACTCCTTGCTCTTTCAGGGATGCCCACATCGACGCGTGGCTGACTGAACCAAACGCCTTCTCGAAGTCTACGGCAGCGAGCCAAAGGTCCACGCTGCGCTCGTGCATCTGCTCACGCAACAAAAGTAACGTCAGCAAGTGGTCGTCGCAACTGTACCCTTTGCGGGACCCAGCTTGGTCAACTGATTGCTGCTCTGCAAGGTGCGCCAACAATCTCCCGTGCAAAACCGTGCTGGAAATTTATACACAATAGGCAATATCGAGATAGGTCGATAGTTGCACGGTAGTTGTGGGTCTTCATTGTTGGAAAGTACCTTGATGCACGTGCGCCGCCTCGTCTGCGGAGGCTTTTTCCCCATCCGACGATGTGCTCGTGAACGCCTGCGATATCACCTCCGCCAAGTAATCGCTCTGCGGCAATGTCAGCTGAGTCTGACGCTCTTCCTCTGTTCAATTTCTTCACGTGGGCTTTGACTTCATCTGCAGTGGCCGCAGGTATACGCGACTGCCCCGCTGTAGCTGATGACGCGTCCTCTTCGAGCCCGCGGCATTGATTGCTGGAATACAACTCCTCATGGAAAATAGCGAAAACTTCTACGATGCCTTGTCTGCCTGAGACCTCTTCCCCGTCATTGTTTTTCACGCACGTCAGCCGCGGCTTCATGAAATTATTCTCGACGTCGCGTATTCTCCCAACGCCCGAAAGCAGGATGCAATCGATGCGTTCTTGCTTACGTTGCCTTTCCCACGCTCGCAACTCTGTTTGCCGCGTCTTGTCGATGCTTGCCAATGACCGGTGACCGTCGCCACTCTGTCTGACTGCTCTGCGCTCCGACAACAGCTGCCGAATCCGAAGAGTCAGTCCCGTCCTTTTGCTCTTCTGTATCGAACCGCTCGCCTTGCACTTCGCTGCAGCTGATAACATTGCGGATTTGACGCCTTGTAGAAGAAGAAGAACGACAATATGCCGACGTCTTGTTCCATCAAAGGGGGTCCAATTATCGCAAGCAGGTGGTGGAAATGCGTATTTGCAATGGCAAACGTCTCCTCGGCGACCCAAGCGGCAAGGTCTTCGCCTCTTGGATTGCGATGCCCATAACCGTGCTCTCCCATGCAAGCGTTGCCACCGAAATCCCCAGTGGCCCCGACAGAAGCGTTAAAATCACCACCGACAACGAAACTCATGTTTCTTAACATCGTTGATTTCTCATCTGACGGCACCTCTCTGCACAAGGCCTCAACATCCTCATCCGGCAACCAGGCGTGCGGCATGTAAACTGACAGCACCCTAAGCGGACAGGCGCAAACCTTGACGTCGACCCAGCACAACCTATCCGACCGAACTGTAAATGATAAGATGTTGTTCTTCCAACGCCGGTGGACGATGTAATAGCAACGCCTTTTGAATGCTTGCACCCGCCACTTCCCATGAACACATGGACATGCTCTGTTTCCAACTGCTCCTCAACATCACCCCATCCACGTCTCATTCAACAATGCCATACCCCATTCCCTTAAGCATGACAACTCAACAAACAACTCCTGCAGTCTTGCCTCCGATCTCACATATTGCACGTTCTTGCACAGCACTGTAAATTACGCCATTTTGTCGCAACTGTCACTCTTGAGCTCGCGGCGGTGGCATTTATGTCCGTCATTGCTTGATGGTTGTAGATGCCGTAATGCGTCAGATATGCTCGCAGGCACGCTGCCGTCCGCGTGGCTATATTTCTCCCTTCCTCCGCCGCTGCTCCGCCCATTCTCCATGGCATGGCCGAAAGAATCAACAACGGTGAACTCACTGCCTGGCAATTTATCGCATGTCCTTCTTAATGCCTCTGCGGTCCTACTCCGGGTGCTGTTCGTCCGAACATCCGCTCGGAATGGATTACCCCCACCACACTGGTTCACCGTCTCTGCCCCGATCTTCCCTCCATTTCCTCATGCCGTCGTCCACCGCCTGCTTGATGGAGCTCCCCTGGTCTACTGTCTTCAAACAGCCATCCACGATCTGGGCCACGCGCTTGGACTTCACGGATACCTCGCCCTTCCCCCAATTGATTCGAACATCTCGTTTATCAATGCCGTCGGCTTCAATCAAGTGGTACTTCACCTTCTCCAAGGTCTTGTCGAAATCGCGCTCCTCGAATGTCCGGTTGCTCTTGAACCACATCGTGATCCCGTTGACCGTTTTGTCCGCTGCCTGTCTCTTCCGGAAGAAGCCGCGCTTGGCCGCCTCCGTTTCGAACTCGATGACCCCCATCTTCGCCGGGCCCGTAAACGTGAAAACCTTGGACACCTTATGTTTTCGGTTCCCCGCCCCCAGGAAAGTCTCAGTGGTTTCGACCACTTCGTCTGCCTCGGAATCGTCGGAGAAGCCTCCCACCACAACTTGACGAATCCTCTCGGCACCGTCCTCTACCTCCTCCTGCTTCTCTGTGCTTCCTCGCCCCTCAACCCCACGATCCTTGAGCGCCGATGCTACCTCCTCCACGGCCTTGTCCAACGCTGCGTGCAAAACATCCCGCGTGACATACTTCTCTGCGATTTCCGCCACGGAGCTCATGCGACAACAAAAAACTCTCGGCGCGCGCGTCGCCCGTAGGCTGCATACGCACACACACACACACACAGTCAACCCGCAACGTGAGGATGCGCGATAAGGACGCAAGGGCCTTGGACGCCCATCTCGAAGATTTTCGAGCGGGGCGCGGCCAACGAAAGTAGCCAAGGATGGACCGGGGAGGCAAGGATGCAAGAGTACCCCTGCGAAGGTTGTCCATCCTTACTATGTGGGTTGACTGCATCTTGGCATGTCTGGGTGCTGCCGGACGGGGGCCGCGAGAGGCGAGCCCCCGGCAGCCCTCGGTCGACGCCACCGCGGGCACTGTCGCGGGTGAGGGCGATCGGCCGCCCCCCCGGGGGGGGGTCTGATCGCCCACGCCGCCCGCGATCGTTCCAGCGTCGCTTCCCGTCGTCTCCCCATCGCTCCTCCTCGCCCTCGTCGCCCCCCTCACCTCCGAACGTTAGGAGGCCTCCGTAAGGTACCTTCGTTGAAAAGGAGCCCTTTCCAGGGTGGATCCTGGGGCCGGATCCTACGCTCGACTGGTGAGGCCGAGCGGCGAGAGTCTCTCCCGAAGCTGCGTCCAGCAAGGGTGACGATCGGGCTGCTACCCGCCTGTTTTCCAGAGACGGCCGGGGCCCTCCTTGTGGCACAGGTGCCAGTTCGACCCGTGCCAATTCCGCCCGGTGTGCATGGGCTTTCTGCCTCGTCTCTGTCCTCTTCCTCAGGCTACTCTAAGCCATCACACCAACGCGCAGACCTGAGACACCCATGATGCTCTAACTCCATGTCAACGAGACCACTGTCATTCCATGTCCCGCGTTGTCTTTGAAACATATCACGTCAGAACAACAAATTCCGGCCTCATTTAAACCCATGTTGCCCAAATCAAGCGGGGCTGCTATGAGGGGCACATCGCTTCAGCTCATCCCAGCTCGTTCTCGGCTCAACGCATCTGAAGCCTACACAACACCAGGCATATGATATCAAACCTATCGAGCCCATCTGCCACCCGTGCAGCAGTTGGCGCGTGTGCATGTGTGCGCGCGTGTCGAGACATCTTCTGTTGCACCACTGCCGTCTCGGATGCACCTGGCTGGTCCTTGCGAGCTCAGGGTAGCCCATAAAACCAATATCGTCTCCATCGAATCGGCTTTCTGATGGAGGCACGTGGGGAACCAGGGTGCTTCTCCCAGAGGTAGAAGCAAGGGAGGGGGGGCCGAGGAAGAAGAGGAAAGGAAAGGAAGGAGCCCCCCCCCGCCTCCCCCGCCCCCCAAAGCGCGGTGGCAGATCCGTTCCGCAGCGCACGTGGATTCTTCCAGTATTGTTGGGATCGCAGCGGTACATCCCGCGGAACCGAACTAGGAGGTGCACTCAACCTGTCTTCGCTGGACTTAACCTGGACCAATTCAGTTCAGTTACACGTCAATTAAAAACGCTGGCGCCCAACAGCTGCGCCCAGACAGGGTCAGCCCAAATTCGATTCAGCTCCGCTAAGATCGCCACTAGTCAATTCAGTTCAGGAAAAGACGAAGCCATGAGCTGAATACACGTAACCCTCTTGACGTCAGGTCTGTGTTGCTCAATTGTTTATGTGACACTCATATCAATCCAACCCAATGGATTTCGCATCGGCTCAGCCAAATTCTAGCCATAGTTCCTACTAGTGCAATACAAAACCCCATGTAGTCACACGCGCAAAAACAAAAACAAAAAAAAAAAAAAAAAAAAAACGACTACTAGCACCCAGGCCAGGCCAAGTCAGCACATCCCAGACTAACGCTTAACATTTGGACATCGGACTGAATCTAGACCAACTCACCCACTGTACCTGAGTTCCAGCTCGCGTCAGCACAAGCAAACCCAATTCAACGAAACTCCGTCCAATCATTCCTACACCAGCGCCACTATCATTTGAATGCAGCCTTCTCGAAGCCAGTTCAGAACATGGCATGTCGTCAATGCGGTTCGACCCAAGCCCGTCCATTCCAAGCCAGGAAAGCTCAGTCCACTTCAATTCTGTCAGGTCCAAACAGGTCGGCGTGACATCATCTGATCTCATGACATTGGCACCTGCTCATCTTATAGCAGCTCAAGCAACGCACATGTATAGGAGATTCGTAACGGACCTGCACCTCAAGATTGATCAAGGCATCCTTAATCGACATGCAAACAAGCCCACATCCTATAAACATCCAAACAACAGGGGCACGAGCTCAAACTTCCAAGGGTAAGGGGCGTGTAAGGAGGGAATCTGTCACGGGGAAAGCAGACAAAAAGAGAGAGGGGGAGAGAGAGAGAGAGAGGGAGAGAAAAAGAGTGGGAGAAATGAAGACTGAGAAAGTGAGTGCGAGAGGCGGGAGGGAGAGGGAGAGAGAGAGAGAGAGAGAAATAAAGAAAGAAAGAGAGGGATAGAGAGAGAGAGAGAACACAAAATTAAGAGCAACAAAAATGATGGCTGAGGAGCCAAACAAAAAACGAGAGACGGAGAGCAAGAACGAGCAAGACAGAGCAAGAGAGAGAGAGAGAGAAAGAGAGTGGGAGTGCCAAGACATCCTCCCACACGTGTGGGGGGCAGCCTTTCACTACGATAACCCATGATACGACCACCACACCTACTGGACCAACACTACGCCGACCTCTACCTACGACCTGGTATCTAGCACCTGCTCCCTACTACTTTCGGTTGGCGTCGCAAAGGTCGCGTGCAACATCGATTTTTCAAAAGTACACTATCCCTGTGAAGCGATTCCCCGCGAGGGCCTCACGCTATCCCCATGCCAGGGCTTCCCCGGTGCACGCCATCCCCAAGGTGGGGGATACCGTGAAATGCGGCTCCACACCGCGGGCTATTTGTGCGACGCCAAACGTGCTCCATACGTACGCCCTACACAAATTTGCGACCTACGATTTACTACTACTACTACTACTACTACTACTACTACTACTACTACTACTACTACTACTACTACTACTACTACTACTACTACTACTACTACTACTACTACTACTACTACTACTACTACTACTACTACTACTACTACTACTACTACTACTACTACTACTACTACTACTACTACTACTACTACTACTACTACTACTACTACTACTACTACTACTACTACTACTACTACTACTACTACTACTACTACTACTACTACTACTACTACTACTACTACTACTACTACTACTACTACTACTACTACTACTACTACTACTACTACGACTACTACTACTACTACCAGAACTATTACTACTACTACTACTACTACTACTACTACTACTACTAGGACGACTACTTCTACTACGACCACTACTGCTACTACTACTACTACTACTACTACAACTGCTGCTACTACTACTACTAGTACTACACATGCTACTACTACTACTACTACTACTACTACTACTACTACTACGACTACTACTACTACTACTGCTACTTCTGCTGCTGCTGCTGCTGTTGCTACTGCCACTACTGCGACTACGACTACTACTACGACGACTACTACTACTACTACTACTACTACTGCTACTACTAAAGAGGACCACTACTACTGCTGCTACTACTACTACTACGATTACTACTACTACTACGACTACTACTGTTACTACTGTTACTACTACTACTACTACTACTACTACTACTACTACTACTACTACTATTACTATTACTACTTCTACTACTAGTACTACTACTACTACTACTACTACTACTACTGCTACTACGACTACTACTTCTTCTACTACTACTACTACTACTACTACTACGACTACTACTACTACTACTACTACTACTACTCCTACTACTACCACTAGAACTACAACTCCTACTACTACGACTACTATTACGACGGCGACGACAACTACGACTACTACTACTTCTACTACCACTACGACGACTACTACTACTACTACTACTACTACGGCTACTACTACTACTACTACGACTACTACTACTGCTACTACTACTACTACGACTACTACTACTGCTACTACTACGACTACTATTACTACTACTACTATTACTACTACTACTACTACAACTACAAATACTACGGCTACTACTACCACTACTACTACTACTACTACTACTACTACTACGACTACTACTACTGAGATTACTGCTACGACTACGACTACGACGGCGACGACTACAACTACTATTACCATTACTGATACGACTACTACTACTACTACTACTACTACTACTACTACTACTACTACTATGTCTACGACTGCTGCTACTACTACTACTACTACTACTATGCTACTCCTACTACTACTACTACTACCACTACTACTACTACTACTACTACTACGCCTGCTACTACTGCTGCTGCTGCTGCTGCTACTGCTACTGCTACCAATACTACGACTACCACTACTACTACTACTACTACTACTACTACTACTACTAATACTACTACTACTACGGCTACTACTATAACACTACTACGACTACTACTACTACTAACTACTACTACTACTACTACTACTACTACTACTACTACTACGACGACGACGACTACTACTACTACTACTACTAAACTACTACTACTACTACTACTACTACTACTACTACTACTACTACTACTACTACTACTACTACTACTACTACTACTAATACTAGTACTACTACTACTACTACTACTACTACTACTACTACTACTACTACTACTACTACTACTACTACTACT